TGACGTGGCGGGGCCGTTTCCGGAGAGTGAAAGCGGTAACAAGTATTTCATGGTTGTGATGGATTACTTCACTAAGTGGCCAGAAGTCTTCGCCATTCCAAATCAAGAAGCTTCAACAGTTGCAGATAAACTAGTTCATGAAGTCTTCTGTCGTTTTGGAGTACCTTTAGAGATTCACAGCGATCAAGGAAGGAATTTTGAGTCTCAAATATTCCAGGAAACTTGCCGAGTTATGGGTACTCATAAAACAAGAACGACTTCTTATCACCCGCAATCTGATGGAATGGTGGAACGATTTAATCAGACATTGGAGAGGTACCTAGCAAAAGTTGTAGACAATCGGCAACGAGATTGGGACAAGCACATACAACCGTTTTTGTTGTCATATCGAAGTTCTGTTCACGAAAGTACAGCAGTGACACCAGCTTTCGCAAACTTTGGAAGAGAATTACGGCTGCCTGCAGACCTGATCACTGGGATACCACCCGATGCTCCACGCAGTATAACCGATTATGCAAATGACTTGCGGAAAAAAATGAATGACGTTTATGAGCACGTCAGACAATCGGGCCAGCAAATGTCTGAAAAGATGAAAACCCGGTATGACCGCAAAATGAACAACAAAGGGTTCGACGAAGGTTCACTTGTGTGGTTGCACAATCCAGTCCGCAGCAAAGGGAAATCTCCTAAGCTTCAAGCTAAATGGGACGGCCCGTACCGGATTGTAACCAGGATCAACGATGTGACCTACCGGATACAGAAAGGCGCAAGAGGGACTCCTAAGATCGTCCATGTGGATCGCTTGGCGCGTTATTATGGGACCGATAATGCTCGGGACGAGCATGTCTTAGGAGGGGGCAGTGTTGCATGAATAAGTCAACTAGCGCCATCTAGTGTCAGGAACGAGAGCGAGGGGAGCATTGAGAAAATGACATCACAAATCGCTCAACTGACAGCGCCTAGTCGAAACTCGAACGCTCGATACCTTCCGCGTGTTTACTTGAACATTCTGGATATTTCTTTGCTAATTTAAATATATAGGCGCTGCAAGATGCGATGGGGGCAGTGTTGATTTGGGCGAAACAAGCGAAGCTTCGGAGTGGATTTAAGTGAATTAGTGTGTTTAAATTATTGGTGTTTTAACTTTAATTGTGTAAAGTAAATTAAAGTGTAAATTTAGGTAATTTTATCGGCAATTTTTATTGTCACGAACCTCAAGCTCGTAACAATATCATACCTTGAACACTAATGGAAATTGGCGTGCGCTGCAAACCGTTGGAGTTACACGAAGATATTATACCTTGGGATTGTTTGTCATCTGTAGTTCGAAATAAAAGTCCGCGACAGCATGTATCTACCTTTTATGTAGAAGTGATTATATCCAAAATAGTGAGCCATAAATACAATTAAATTTGATACTTTTTTACAATGCACATTTTAGAGTATTTATTAAATTATTATCAAAATTGATACATTTGTCGCTTTCAATATTTAATGTAGATGAACTTTTTCTTTTACACAAAGTAATTTGGACGAATAGTTTAAAAGTTATCACGGTATAATTGACATGAATGGAGCACCAGCGCAAAGCGGGGGTGGAGCGGCGGTCCAAGCAATGACGCGCGATCGCCGAGTGCGCGACCCGAACGCAGGCAGACGCGGAGAGCAGACGTTGACGGTTATGTTCAGTTTGCGTTCTTTCTTATAGCTAATTCGATTCTCGAAAAGATTTATTATTTAGTACCGGTAGGTAGGCATAATTTTTATTTTTGGTTAGTATAATTTAAGTAGAAATATAGCTTACTTTTTATTTTAATTTCAGTTTTATTACAATTATTTTATTTTTGTTTATTTGATTATAGGATAAGTAATACTTATATATACTTACAAATACAACGTAAATATACTGCAGTACCTAAATATCGTACAGTTTAATACAGTATAAGTTAATACAGTATAATATTAATAGGGTATTACAAACGCGAAATTTTGTAAGTATGGGTGGATGGATGTTTGTTACTCTTTCACGTAAAAACTACTGAATGGATTAAGATGAAACTACAATAATGTAGATTATACATTAGAATAATGCACATCATACAATTTATAAAGATATTGTGTGAATTTTCCAAAATATGACGATAAGTGTTAGGTAAAAATTTACCAACTACGAGCTATTCTGGCATGCGTTGCCAAAACCGCTAGAGTTACACATATGGTACGGCACCGCCGGCGGCAGCAAACGGTGAGGGCGCGAGGCGGTCGGTTCGACGCACGGCGAATGAGGTGGGTTCTACTGGACCCAAAAATTATTCATGTGATAATTTTAATGTCATAATGTTAGTTCTTTTCTACGCCACGCTAATATAAGCTACTCGAAATTCTAATTCTGCGCAGACAAAGTCGCGGGCACCAGCTAGTAATAATATAAAATCTACTTACACTCATATTCACATTATACACTGCATAATATCACTTACTTTAGCAATAATTGCATATTATCTTAGCCTCTTATTCTTATAGCACACATACAAGTACGTCAGGTGCTCATTGTCATATCAGTCACTCTAAATCATGTAACTAACTGCAATTATATACGTCTTGTCCATATGTTGTAATATGAGGAAAATTAAGATATTCTATCAAAATGTGAGGGGACTACGAACTAGAAACTATGAGTTTTTTTAAAACGTATTATTCCAGGATTCCAATATAAATATGATAACCGAAACATGGCTCTGCGATAGCATTTTTGATGCTGAGCTGTGTTATGACATGTTTAAAGTCTTTCGTTGGAAGAGAGGGTCGTTGGTAGGGCGGGGGGATAATGATTATATGCCAGACAAGAGTGGTATTGTAGTGGTCTGGAGTCTGTGTGGGTAACTATTTCTGCTGCAGCAATCAAATACAACGCATGATTTGCATATTGCTACAGTGTATATTCCACCTAATGATCTAATTCCATCAAGATGGCACATATTAATGAATGAACTCTCTGAAATAAAAAGCCAGAACTACAGTGATCATTTTATAATAGCAGGTTTACTCAGCCTTCCTTTCTTGGTTTGTCACAGTTTTTCAATTACACCAACAAACTGTAATAATACATCAGACCTAATTTACTCTAATTCTTCGTCACCATAAAGAAAGCTACAACGCTTTTAGTAAAGGAAGATCCCCTACATCCGACTCTTTCTATTGTAGCTTCCGATACCCTAGTCCCTCCAATTAAAGCTCAATCTTGCAATAAATATCAATATAATATACGAGGTGACTTTGAAAGTATTATCAAATCGCTTTGAAATCAAGACTAGAGTTTTTTTTTAATTGAAAATAGTAACACAGAGCTCATATTTACTTGATTTTAAATAATTTAAAACAAACTTTCGTACCACAGTTTCGTTGCTCAAGTACCTATATTTACCCAGTTTGGTATAAAAAACCGTTATACAACTAATTAAAGAAAAAGATAGGACTCATGTGAATTATTCAATTCAGGAATCGCCTGCAGGATCAACCAATTTTTTAATTTTATAAACATGACTAATTTACCTCGTGCAGTTGGTGATTTTGTTCGCATACTACAAAATTTGAGGAAGAGCGCTTAACCTCTAACCTACTATGGCTTTGTAAGTAAAACTATTATGAGCGTTTCTTAGAGACTGCTACTATTTTTTGTTTTACCAAAGTTCACTGTTAAACATAGGCCATCCTCATACTTGCCACGCTTAGCAGACGGGTTGGCACCGCATTTTGTTTTTGCTTCGAGTTCTTTTCAAGAAAATGTTCTTGTCCATCTCTTGTTTTAGTTTTCCTCTGTTACCTATGCGACACCTAACACCGATATGAAACAAATACTAATACATAAAAATCACAGAAAAGATACGCGAAAGCGATAGTGAATTTTCGTCACTCATAATTCGTTTAAAACTATGTGTGCTAATTAATGGCCTATTATAATATAATACATACATGTCTGCAGACATATATTTGAATAGGTGAACAGACATAGCCTTAAAGTGTCGTTTTATTACAATATGTAAATGCGAGTTCGCAAGATTAGACGTAAAAGAAATGGAATTGAGTAAGCTAAGACCTTTTGAAATGGCTATTAACGATTTCTTATGTTAAGACGACACATCGAAAAGGCTATCGCCGTACTAATCCGAGTGAATACATAATTACTATAAAAACTTGAAAAAACGCCGTCATAAGGTCTAAAACTGCGTAGCGCCCGCGACGATTAAAAGCGCTTAGAAATTGACAGAATCTTAAAATATTTTTTTTAAAATTATTGATTTAAGTAATCAAAACAATGAACAAGTAAATTATGAATATTGATGTTATGAATATATTTGAGTGATTCCCAAGTATAAGGGGGGTAAGTCCGGGGGAGTTGGCCATAGTTTTTAAAGAAGTCACTAAAATAAAAACTTCAAGGATTAATTAACAAAAATCAACCTTTTATTAAACTTTCGACATTAAACTCTAAGAAAATCACAACATTTTTTGTCATTTTAACATAATCAGTCTCATAATTTACTTTTTTTCAAATCACGATTGGCCATCTCTCCCGTAATGCCCGTTAGAGATGGCCTTAGAAGCAAGGGAGAGATGGCCAGTTTGTTAATCTACGTTTTAATCACTTTTTCCCTTTAAGATTTTGAGCCTTAGCTCATTCTTCTTTTTCTGTCCACATGATGAACACTTATCATCGAATTCGGTGCAATTTTCATGTACCCATAGTTGGCATATAACGCATTGAATCCAATCTTCGATGAGTTGCGTTTCGTAATAATTTTCTCCACAACCTACAAAGTTATCCAATCCTCTGTTTCCATCTTCTTCATCAGACGAATTACATAATATTAGTTCTTCATCCTCATCACTACTTTCGGAAAACTTTCTTAATGATTTTCTCTTTCTTGGTGCTCGTTTTATTGGTTTTATTTCAATTTTTCTTTCCTTTTTAACGTCTTTTTCGAATTTTTTTTTGTTCCCTATTTTTTAAGCGCTTCCTTAAATTTTCTTGTTTTGATGTAATTCTCTGAGGTTAAAAGCATGCTTACTTGTTTAGCACGTTTGCGTACTTCAATAATTTTTTGTGGAACTGGCGATATTTGCTTTAAAATACATGTTGGAGTCAGATCTGGCAAATCGCTTTTTGGAGGGAATTGTTCTGACATTTTTTTAATTACTGCTACTGAAGCAGTAGCAAATAATTTTTTAGGACTTCTTGTAATCATCTCAGGACTTGCGTTTAAAACTATTCGCTGAACAGAGCTATTTGGCTTAGCGATTGCGGGTGATATGTCTTGTCGCACTTCGAAAGTATTTGGAACTGGTTCCAGATTAGCAGAAGCTATATTACTAGTATTTTCTTCTTGCTCCTCGACCATAACAGTGGCTGTACACTCATTTTGAGATTTAGACATTTGCTTTGTCAATTCTTGGGTAAACGCGTAGTCGTCAATTGTCGGGAATTGCAGATGGATTGAAGGGGTGGACACCTGTAGCTTTAAAACCCGCAATTGCATTCTCTGCAGAAGCTGCCTTTCCCCACGCCTTATTAAGCAATCTTCCAAATGATAATCGTGTTATACGACGACCAGGATTTTGTTTTAGCCAAAGTCGACACTGCTCGTAAAAATGAGTCTTCAGTGATTTAAACACCGTATGATCAAGTGGTTGGAGGTAGTGAGAGGTGTGGCTTGGTATTAAAAATAAGGTGATGTCATTGTCCTTCGCATATTCCAGCATTTCCACAGAATTACAGTGAGTTGAATGATCATCTAGTAAAAGAAGTACTCTTCCAGCTGGTTTTCTCGGAACAAAATGTGTTTTCAACCATTCAATAAATAAATCTGAGGTAATGTACGCTGATTTTGGGGACATGAAAAGTTTCGATCCCGGTGGCATTCCATCCTCAAACTCATGTTTTTTGTTTTTGTCTTTCATAATACAGACAGGTGGTAAAAATGTACCTTCAGCATTGCAGCAGGCTATAATTGTAATCGTTTCTCCTTTTTCAGTCGAAGTAACTGTAGATACAGCCTTAGAACCCTTTTCAGCTAGAACATGCCCTGGTCGATTATTAAGCTGAAGACCAGTCTCGTCCATGTTGAAGATACAACTCGGTTTCAACACACCATCGTCTACTGTCAATATGCTTTCAAGAAGCTCAAAGTAAGCGTTAACCTCCTGTTTATTCATAGCAGTTGATCTAGCTAAAGATACTCCTTCTGACTTTCTTAATGTAATATCGTGGTTTCTTCGTAAAAAAAACCTTGCAACCAGTCATATACTGCTTTCTCAATTTCTCTATTAAATCTGTGATTCTAATTCAATTGCTCCGCGAACTGGTACGCAATCTTTCTGACGTCATCAATAGTCAATGGGAAACCATTTTTTTGCATAGTGTTAATATGGTTAGCGAGTTTCTTTTTATTTTTTTCGCCGAATATAGAGAATGGTCCCATTGGTCCTTTTTTGTCATTATTTTTCTTGTATCGCCTTTCGAGGGTCTTCCTTGGTACTTGATAGGTTATTGAAGCTAGTCATTTCACCTTTTTTAACAGCGTCCATGGCTTCCTTAAGTGACTCTTCACTCCAGTTCCCTCGTGAGCTGTATGCTTTTCTTTGGTATTTATTTGGCATCTAAAAATAAAATATTGTGATATGAAATACTAAAACCAAATAAGTATAATAGCACCATAAATAAAGAAAAAGATATCAAGTTATAATAATATAACTTTCACCATTACGCATTACATATATGGTAGGTGTGAGATGGCATTATGGTCATCTCATACCGATTATGTATGGCCATCTCTCCTAATCAGCCGGGATAGATGGCCACACATTATTTGTAGAAAAATATAAACAACCCACGCGCCATTTTGAGGTTATGTTAAAGTGTGGGTTATTACTGAGCACTTAAATTAAAAAAGCACTTACTTTTTATGATGTCTTTTCACCACACTGTATAACGTAAACCCTTTGAAATCTTTAGGCTATATACAAATAAATGTAGGTAAATTTTACATACTTTTTCGATTTTTTTCACCACTTGCACTTGAAGTATTATTTATTTTCTTTTTGATGGATAGCGTTATTATCACCATATTTGAGATCGTTCATATAATCGCTTGCAAATATTTAATTTCTGAATATTTTGTCATAAATTATAGAATACAAATGAATGACGCATAGATGAGATATCAAAGTTAAAAAAACAGTACCTTGTTTTTTATCAAATTATTTTATATTCCTTTAAGTCGTTCGAATTAGAAACGGTGTGCACCTAATGGTTACTAGAGGTCCGGACCGCGAACTCAAAAGTAGTGCGTTAGAAACCGTCATTCAACTACTGTCAAAAAACACAAATACACAAATAAGCTAAGCTAAGCTTAATTCTAAGCGAAATACACAAATAAGCAAGACACGGCAACATCGACAATGTTTTTCATTTTGTGAATATTTAGGTACTTATTATTATCATGCCGTGCCCTATATGTGAGTGTTGAGAGAGATAGCTGCAGCTCAGACTGATTATATCTATTATAGCGCCCTCCACATTCACGCCGTGAACACCTGTGAAAGGCGTGAACCGCGAATGTGGATGGCTTTCGCGCCCGTTCACGGGCTTCGCGCCTTTTCACGCCCTGTTCCCCGTTTTGTGTCGGTATTTTGTGCCCGCTTCAAAGGGTTTACGAGGTGTGAACCTCCCGTGAACGCAAGCGCATCCACACTCGCGCGTGATAACAGTAACGCGCGAGACTCGTTGCTGTGAGGTTGTGCTTATTTGTATTTTTTTACGTAGGACGGTGCGTCAAAATGAGCGTCAGTTGGACGAACGAGCAGGAACTCTTGTTGATCGAGTGTTATCATGCCGAACCCATTTAATGGGATGCTAAACATAAAGATCATAAGAATAAAATGAAAGTACACGACGCATGAATACCAATAAAGGAAATAATGAGTAGGTATTATTTTATTTTATTTTATTTTATAGGATAGGGTAACAAACAAGCACAAAGTCACGGTATGTGGTATGTGGATGCTGTGGCCCATAGACATCTACATCTATCCTCGATTACGAATCAAAATGCAGATGCGTTGTCTCCTTGCCTCGTTTCTAGTAAAAAGGGTCTCCGGTTCTCTACACTCACCATACGAAACATAGCAGCATTAAGCTACTATTTTACTTTGGTATTCTGCCTTCCCCGGTCGGGCCAACCCATTCGTGCTACAACTATACTACTAATATAACTGCAGCATGGCTCTGCCACGGAAAGCGTAGAAGTGACTGATTGAAAAAAGTGTAATGTCCGGTTATAGAAATTATAAGAAAAAGGTGAAGGATTCTGAAAGGAAGTCTGGAGCAAGCAGCGACAAAATTTACAAGCCCATTTGGATTGCTTTTGACGTGATCGATGCTTTTTTAGCAGAAAGCGATAATTGTAAAAAAAAAACTACAAATACGGTTTTTTTATCTTTTATATACACATAATTGTCGTGAGCTAAAGCGCATAGCGTCACGGCGATAGCAGTGAATATTTCAGCGACCATTCTCGACGAGCGCGCGAACTAAACTGTGAACGATTGTGAATGTGGAGGGATATGTTTTTCGCGACGTTTTCGCGGCAAAATTACGGCGTGAATTCACGCCGTGAATCACACAGGAGTCTAGAGCCCACATATGATGTATTTTATGAAATCATCATCTCATTTACCTCGATTTCCTCCTTCGAAATTGTACCGATTTTTTTTAAAGCACATTAAGTATTCTGGCTAAGTCTGCTTATTTTTTTATTTCCTATGATCGTTAAATCTCTTTACCGATTGTGTGATAATAGTAATTTTTAGAGATTTTTTAATTACTAATATGCTTAGTTATGATTACGGCTCTTTAAGGAGAATACTTAATTTGTAGTTATAAGTTTCTGTCTACGGCTCTCTTTAGTTATCTGAGACATAATTTAAGTATTGTGGTTTGTTGTTAGTTATCGGTGGTAGAGTCACGCTGCAGCTATATTACGGTTGCAGCACGATTGTGTCGCCTCGACCCGAGTAAAACCACGCTAACAGAATAACAGAGTAAAATTGTAGCTTAACAAAGCTTTTGTGTTTTAATTCGGTTACGTACTTGAGGTAGTTGTTCTTTTAGTGAGTGCGGTGTCAATAATAGACACAATCCTTATATAATATAAAGTTTAAAATAAATATATAATATAAAGTTTAAAATATAGAATATTTTAATTAGTTTTGTCATTTTTATATTATGCAAAGTAAAATGTCACGTTGTGAAATATTTTAGATTACTTACATTTTATATTACTTAACTATATTGAAATCAATGACGATATTTATCTTAAGTGTTTATAAAAAGTTGAGAGACTTGTAGTCCACAAAACAACAAGAAAAATTAATCAAAATAATATTCAATTAGCGTTGTAAAAACAAGCTTTATTTTGATTTTTAGAATATGATGATATGATGATTCAGTCTTGTGTACTAAACTAATATTGTGGAAACTTTTTACCGTTCTCTTAGCACTGATTGCAGTATTGTAGTCGCACTGAAATCTAATGTTTTTATAGGTAAAATATACATCACTAATTAACGCACACAATGGCAAATCAAAATTCATCCCACGCTTTCGGGCTAGTCTATATATCAGTATATTTCAAGTCTATGACTTTATTTATAACACTAACCTTATTTTATATTACAATTTAATATAAAAAGGAGGTTAGTGCTATAAGAATATTAGAATTTTAAACGTGGTAGAGCCATGCTGCAGCTATATTAGAAGAATAGTTGTAGCACGAATGGGTCGACTCGACCGGGGAAGGACCACGCTCTAACAGAATACCAGCGTAAAATAATAGCTTAATGCTGCTGTGTTTCGTATGGTGAGTGTAGAGAACCGGAAATCCTTTTTACTGGAAACGAGGCATTCCATCTTGGTCCTCATGGGTGACAGCCCATCTGCATTTTATTTCGTAAGCGAGGATAGATGTAGATGTGTATGGTCTACAGCCAACACCTGATGAGGTGGACTGTGTGCTCGTATGTCGTCACCCTATCCTATAAAAAAATTATAATGTACAGATAATTAAAATAACGATAAAAATGACAACACTATCACTGACCGACAAATGACAATCTAACTATAAAAACAAATTGCCTTACAATAATATCGAGCCTTTATAACAATCTATCAAAAGTTCACTGCTAAACATAGGCCATACCCATAGATGACCACATAGGAGGGATCTTACTGTGGGATAGTGAATATTCTTACTCTGCCACTATTACTATTACTATAACTTTGTATAATCTATGGCACGTAAATTTAGTAGAATTTTATACGTGTTTGAGCCGTGATGCAGCTATATTATGATTGCAGCTTGAACGGGTCGGCTTGACGATGGATCACGATCTCGCAGAATATCAACGTAAAATATCAGCTTAACGCTGCCGTGTTTCGTTTGATGAGTGTAGAGAACCGGATACCATTTTCATTTAAAACAAAATAATAAATCTTAGTCATCACGGGTGACAACGCATCTGCAATTTGATTCATAATTGGGGATAGCTGCAGACCTGCAATTCCCCTGGTGTTGCGAAAGTTCATGGGCGACGGAAGTCATTTAACATCAGGTGAACCGTATGCTCGTTTGCCCCCTCTTCTATAAAAAAATAGAGGCATTTGTCTATGGGCCATCGCAACCACTTACCATTAGGTGGACTGTGTGCTGGTTTGTCAACCTTATTCTATAAAAAAAGCAAATTATTTCTACTTACTGATAACATTTTTGGTGTTTACATAGTACTAATTAAATCACGAACAGAACAGTATGCTAGCATTTCTTACACATAAATTATGATACTTTTTTAGCACTTGTTGATTCTTTTCCAAATCATCATCTAACTTTCAAGCAGATATTTGACATTGTTCATGACATTGAGGTAACTATTTCCGCTTTTAATCTTTTCCACATTATATGCTATAAATTTGTAACTAACACTGCTTAGTAACGTATTGCTGTAAATATTTAAGCTAGATAAAACATACATCCAATAATTGTCTTTTTTTCTATTTTTATGAACTATGCGACACCATTTACTTACAATATATTTATCATTAAAAGATTATTCTCGATTAAAAACCCAACCATTTACATGGGTACCGTGTTCAATGGCAT